AAATATTTTGTCACAAAAGAAAAAAATAAAATTCAGTATAAAGATTGATGTTATCATTAAGGCTATTACACAGCTTTCAACCTATCAGAAAGACAAACAAATCGCCAACAGTAGGGGAATTGGGCCTTGATCTTTTGAGGTTTGGGATTTTTTTTTTCCTTTTTCTAATCAGGAGATAAAACTAAAAATGGTGTCATTGAGTGAAAATAAAATTAAAAATGGGGAGAAAATAATTCTCCGGATAAACAGCTTTTCTAATATTTTACATGTTGTTTTTCTTTCACTGTCACTTTACCTGGTTTTTCTCTGCATTTCAAAAAAAAAATCGTCAGAGCTTCTCTGAAGAATAACCACATCATTTAACACTTGGCTGACTGGGCAGAGTGCCCTGCTCTGAAGTGGAGACAGGGATCAGCTTGGGGGATGGGAAGATAAGCTTCAACCTTTGCTTTTACCCCAAGGGAATGTGCCTCTCCAACCTTGGGAGGATTCCCTCAGTCACTGAGGGGGGTCTGTGAGAAACGTGCCAGGGACAGAGGAAGGATTTGCTACAGCTCAGTCTCTCCCCTCTAAGCCAGAAGGGTCTCCAATGACCCTGTGTCTCACACACCAAGTCTCACCTCACATGCCACATCTCTTACGGTAGACGCATTGACCCCCTTTTTAAAAGTGGTATTTTTGAGCCTTGGGAGGCAGGAGTTTGAAATAGGTATCCTATTCAGGAAAGGCTCAGGGATCATTGTGGAAGAGGGGGTGAAAAGATTGAAGAGCCTGAGGTGCTGAATGACCAGAAGAAAACAGAGTTTTCCAGATGGCTGGTCAGTTACTCGTATGAACTCACAGCAACGGTGACAGCATGCACAAGTCCTATGCAAGATCAAACCAGAAAAAATCCCAGCATAGACATGGAAAAGTAGGTAAGAAATCACAACCCGACCTGAGGAACTTTTGGCAACTGCTGGCTGTTGGGAAAGGAAAAGACAGTCTCTTTCAGAAATGGGACTCTTGGTAGGTTGACCAGGCCCCAGTGAATGAGCTTTGTTTTAAGTGATATTTTTGTAGTTGTTGCTCAATTTGTTTCATAACCTGAAATTTTTCTCTTTTTTTTCTTCTGTTTAAAATTAACTATACCAAATAATTCTATCATAGTGCTATTCAATATGTAAATTGTATTTTGTACATAAAATAAAGTATAATTTAAAAAGCAAGGTACTGGAGATGTGGCTCTGCAGTTAAGAGTGCTGGCTGCTCTTCCAAAGGACCCACAGAGAGCTAACAACCATCCACAACTCCACTTACAGGGTATCTGATGCCCTCTTCTGGCCTCTGCTGACACTATACAACCCAGATGCACCTACATAAATGCAGGCAAAAAATTCATACACACAAAATAAAAAGTAAATACATCAACAAAAAGAAAAGGGCTTCAAAATAAGACAGTTGGGACATGGACTTTGCTCTCCATGTAAATTAAAACCACCTTAAGATTTTGCCTTAGCCCAGTGAGACTGGCTAAGATGAAGAGAACAAATGATACCAAATGCTGGTGAGGATGTGGAGAAAGGGGAACGCTCTTCACTGCTGGTGGGATTGCAAACTTGTGTGACCCCTATGGAAAGCAGTGTGGAGAACTCTTAAAAATCTAAAATTTAACCTGCCATATGACCCAGTTATACCACTCCTTGGCATATACCCAAAGGACTCATCCTATTGTAGAGACATTTCTACAACCATGTTTGTTGCTGCTCTTTTCACAATAGTTAAGAGATGGAAGCAACCTAAGTGCCCCTCAACTGACGAATGGTTAACAAAAATGTGGTACATTTACACAATGGAGTTCTACTCAGCAGTAAAGAAAGCTGAAATAATGAAATTTGCAGGTAAATTGATGGATCTAGAAATTGTTATACTATGTGAAGCAACACAGACTCAGAAAAAAAAAAAAAGACGTATGTTCTCCCTCATTTGTGGATCCCAGCACAAAATCCTTATAAGTGAGTGTGTTTCCTGATATAACTACGGGAACCAGGAATACGGAAGGGAACCAGGGAGGTAAAAGGAAAGAAGGAACCCAAGAGAGACGAATAGTAGGAGGAAGGTGTTACTAGGGGAGAAACATGCAAAAAGGGAGTAGTTAAAGGGGAGGGGCATGGAGGGCTATACAGAGACTATGGGAATAAAGGAGGAAAAACTCCCAATACACAGTTTTTTTTAAAAAAGCCTTAAGCATAGAAGGAATCCTACAGGGCTGGACAAAATCTCTACCAGAAGCCATACAGTTATTAAATGAAAATCCCAGTGCTAGAGTTGGGCTGCCCACCATGAGCTGTTGGCCAGAGAGGCCCTAGAGGTCCCCAAAACAATAAAGGCCATTGCCAATAATGTTCGTTGTACAACAGAAGTGGATGGAAAAACCCTATTGCTGAAAACACCACATGATGCCTGTGTGGGAGAGAGAGTTTCCAGCTTGGACTAAGCTGGAAACTCCCTGCCATTGGATGGGTGGCTTTCATAGTGCCAGAAGGCAACATGCAGTTGGATGGGGGAGAACTATCCCCTATAATTCTGCTCAACATTGGACCCCACATGCTACACTATCAACACGCCAAACAAGATGCCCTAGCTGGTACAATAATGGAGCATCTAGTGTATGTACAACCAGCAAATTTTCGATTGGATATAATGCCCATTCCTAGAGGTGGAACACACATCTGGTACTATAGACCAGGCTAATCCCTGTGGCAGGGGAGGATATAGATCCCAGTGGGGAAGCCACTGCAATTGTTTTGTTAAATGGATGTAATGCACTTGCTAAGGTACCGTCCAAGCATTTGTGTTTACATCCATAGGTTAAGTAATTACAGCAGCCACTGTTTAGATGTTCTTGCTTCTTGCTGTTTGTGTTTTTATAGTAGATGGAATCTCACTGAAATGGGCCAATAGCCCATGGAAAACAGATGATGCCCAGACCCGAAAGTTCAGCCACAATGGGAGGAAGGTCATCGCACACCTATCACCCCCTCCAAGGATCAGGAACTTTTGCAGAAGAGGCTGGCAGAAAGAATGTAAGAGCCGGGGTAAGGGGTGGAGTGTTAACTGGAAGTGTCCTCTGACCAGCAAGCTACAGTCACACCTCCTTCCCACATTGGTCAAGGAGTCGATGGGGAGTCAGTTACCCCTCCTACCCAGTCAACCTTAGCTGCATGTAGGGGAGGGCTAAGGATATATAAGCTGAGAATGCCGAGGTACCTCTCTCACCATTTTGCAAGGTTTCTGGGAAGTCATTTGAGTGTGGACTTTCCAGGGCAGCTGAAAATGTGAGGAGGGGGGCACTCTTCTGTAGATAAGCCTCTACCCTTTATAAATAGACTTATTCCATCTATAGGCAGAGTATGGCCAAAACCTGTCTAGATGGGTAGTGCCCCAGCTCTACATGGGTCTCTGTTTAGTCAGTACCTCACTGTATACCAGACTTACTCCAATAAAGAATATAAAAATCTTACTCCAATAAAGAATATAAAAAGTTTAATTTTTAAAACTGGATTTAAAAATTCTTCCAATCCATGAGCATGGGAGGTCCTTCCATCTTCTGATGTCTTCCTCAATCTCTTTCTTTAAAGATTTAAAATTTTCACTGTAGAGGTCTTTAATGTCCAAAGACAAGTTTTAACTTTTTGCATGTGTATATCGTAAGTTTTCAAACAACTTTGTTCTTCTTGGTTTTCTTTTTATATATTTTTATTTATTTGTGTATTTATTTATTTATTTGAGGGTAGGGCTTTTTGGTTTGGTTTGATTTGGTTTCATTTGATTTGTTTTGTGAAAGACTCTCATGTAGCCCGTGCTGGCCTGGAATTCACTACATAAATAAGGATGATCTTGAACTATTTCTCCTCCTTCATGAAGACCTAGGGAGCTAACTCAGGGCTTTATACATGCGAGCACTCTAGCTACTGAGCTACATCTCCAATCTTTCATTTGTTGTTTGGTTTGTTAGATTGTTGGTTGGTTTTGATTTAAATTTTTATTTTTGAGAATTCATACATAAGTACTGTATTTACATCATTTCTACCCCTCCCTCTCCCCCTCCCGCTCCTCCCACATCCCCCATCCCGATTCCCTCACAATTTCATGACCTCTTTCTTAATTATTATTGTTTTATAGGTATTATTCATTTGTTTTTGAGACAGGGTCTTATTATGTATCTTGGGCAGCTGGAGCTCAAGTTCCTCTCAGCCTCCAGAATGCTGGGATTAAAGGCATGCTGCAACCACACTCAGCCCCCAGGTTATGTTAATCTATACATTTCCTGAATTATCTCTGCCTTTAGTTTTGTAAGCCCACTCATTATGAGGAGTTTTGTAAGTCCACTCATTAAGTGAGGCCACTTAATTCACAAGAACTCTCTGTGGTGAAAAACTTGGAACCCAGTGAATCATTTGTCCTTCCTCCCAGCTTGACTGTCTATAGCTCTAGACACCTGCTACCCATGCAGCCTGACGTAGACCCACTGACTGGAAGGCTCGGGGTTGTATTCAAATGTGACCTAAAGAATGTTTAGGTAGGAGTGCGTGGAAAAGAATGAAAGCACTCTGCAAATTTTATTCTCTAGACTTAACCACTCACGTTTTTTATTAAAAGTTACAGCAAAAGCATCTCTGAGCTACATGTAAAGAAAGAACTGAAGAGGAGGCTTTGCTGATGTGAAATGAGTTGACATCGGGAAATGCACGCTATAAAGTGGACCATGCTGGCTGAAGGGTCAGTCTTGGCTAAGAACATCCCTTCCGAATTGACAGATTCTCTCTTCAGCACTTGGAAAAAATGTGGGGCTGAACTCCAGCGAAGCTAGGGAGCAGGCAGCATCTGTGCTGGGCTGGCAGCAGGGCAGCCCCAGGGTGGCTATGCATGAATGGATTGTGGTATGTCCTCAGAGGAGGTGTGAAAAGTGTTCTATCCTCGAAGTGTGGCCTTGGAGAAGCTGGACTCAGCTAGGTTTGTCAGGAAGTGGGCAAGCTGGTGTTTGCTTTGCACACACTTGGAGAAGTTGGGGGGCAGAAGTCGGAGCCCCCGCTGGATGGTTTGCCTAAACCAGTCACACAGCACGGTGGCTGGCAAGAAGGAGATTTGCATCCACTCTGGTTGGAGGTAGAACCACCACAAGTTGGCTGGCCAGAATACACACTGCCACATGAAGCTGATTTGCTAAGGTGCTTTATAGAACAAGGAGACTGGCAGGTAGCCATGGGCTGGCAGATGAAGGAGACAGAAGGAGCTGGATGGCAGTGAAATGGCTGGCAAGGGGAGGACACACAGCAAGTCTGACTGCAAGGACTGAACATACAAGTAAATGGTTGGCAGGCGACAGGGGTGCAGGGAACCGATCGGCAAGGCTTGAAAACATAGCAGATAGGTTGGTAATAAACTGACTCGCAAGGCTGACCTTCACCTCTGATGGGTTGGCATGACCCTCCTTGGCAGCAGGCTGGCTGGCAGGAGCTAGCCTCACAGTTCGTTGGTGGGCATGGTATTTCAGCAGAGGAAGTTCCTTCAGAGCAGGATGGCTGGCAGAATCCAGCTTCACAGCAGGCTGATTGGCATGATGCAGATGTGCTAGCTGATTCCTGACAGGAGCTCTGGAGGCAGGAGCTGTCATCACAGCACTTCATCTGACAACCAGCAGATTCCAAGCAGAAAGGCTGGCATGATGCATCTGGATGAGGAGTCCGACCAGCGCCAGGTACACCGCAGGCTGTATGTAAGCCTATGGGTTGGCAAACAAAACCCACACAGGAAGTTTCTGGAAGACAAGTAGGTAGACAAGAAACAGATTCACAACTAATTGGGTCACTGTGGGCTAGCTGACAGTTTTCCTGACATGTCACTAGCTGCCATGTCCTCCTCTGGCAAGAACTGGGCAAACAAATAGCGTTTCGAAAGCTTCTACCATCAGAGCATGTGGAGATGGTGGGCACAGCTGGAATAGCCGTGGCATTTCCAGGACAACAGCTGTCCACCATGGTGCTGCTGAAAACCAGGCTGGGAAGCTACTAGCTCAGCTGTCTGAGTTTGAAAAGCATCTAATAGCAAGGGGCTTTTATAGTCCCTCTCCAGGAGTGTTGGCTCTACTCGTGGCATCTTTCCTTGTTATTGTTCTTACTCAGCCCCATGCAAACATCTGGTTAGAAAGCTTCAGGAGCCCAGGGAGATGTCCCCACTCTTTAAAAACATGCCTGCTGAGTTGAGAGTCTTCTTTGCCGAATTTGGATTCATAGATGCCGCTCTGGGATGAGCTGTCTCTTTTACAGGTTGCTCCCCAGGCTCATGGAAGCAGGCTTTTCCACATACGCACTCATCAGGAGGCTCCGCCAAGCTAAAACATCCACTCTTCCTCTGGGATGCAGTTGTGTGCTATAAAATCAGGAAGTGACACTCTGACCTTACTGGAAGAGAGGGCATAATAATATCAAAGATGGAGAACAGAAAATTGAATCAGTGGACCCCAAGGATGCTTAACTGTCTCTCCCTCGTTCTAGAACCTTCACATGGGGCTTTTTGGAAAGTTAACCCCAAAAGCAATCTACAGATTCGATGTAATCCCCATTAAAATTCTAAAACAATCCTTCACAAAAATTGAAAATGTAATCTCAAATTTCATATGGAAATACAGAATTGCTCTCTGTAATAATGACTTTAATGGTTTCGATTTATCAAATCCTTGATGGCATTTTTCATTTATCCATGAAATGACCTTATCTAGTCATTGTCAACCCTATGCTAGAAGGTAGGAAAAAGGAACTCAGAATTTCAATTATGTCCCGCAATTATACAAATAGGGTCCAAAACAAGATCGAAAACCAAAGTGGGTGACCCAAAAATCTGATCTTAACCACTAATTGGCCATCCTGGGAAGGTACAGAGAGAAGGATTCTAATACAGTGAGAGAGGATGACATTGGTCCAGGGCATGCTGGCCCAGGTCCTGCACTGGAATCCTGTCCCCACGGCAGTAGACCAAACTAATTGAGTATTTTCTCCATTTAACAACATACCCAAAGATGATCTTTTAATTTAAAATTTTAAAAATAAATATTTCAGTTGAGTGTGGTGGTTCATTCCTGTAATTCCCATACTTGGGAACTGAGGTAGGAGGATTACTGTGAGTTCAAGACCAGTCCAGATTGTATAGTTAATTCTAGGCCAGCCTGAGCTGAAATGTGAGAAGTTTCTCAAAAATTTTTTGGGAAAAATCCCTTCAGCTGTTTCATCAAGGACTATTAAATATGGAGATCAACATGAATTCTGCAAATATGAAAACCTTAACAACCAGAAATAATATCAAGACATCTCCGCAAAATAGTTTTCGAGTTCCAGCAATCCCTTTAAAAACTAAGTTGTGAGGGGCTTTCAGAATCCTTCTCATTTTCCTCTGGGCTTGTCCCAGCTCAGCATCACTAACCGATTCTGCCATCCCCCTCAAGTGCATGTCCTGGCCTGCTTCCTGCTGGAAGTGTGCAATGGCATAGGAAGGTCATGGTCTAGGAAGCAGGCAGGGCTGGTCTTGACTCCTGGTTCTGTAGCCAGCTCATTCTGTTAGACACATTAGCTCATTACCCACGTCTTCAAAGTGCCAAGCGCATCATTAACTGCCTTGTTGTTTTGTGGATTATTTTGGCTGCCTCACAAATATGAAGTAGCTAATGATTCTGAAGGGGACTTCACAAAGTAGCAGCTATGAAATACCTTCTTCTTGACACTCTTCTAGCCATAATTTTTAAAAGAAGAAAACCTCCTGATGAGAGCAATGTCTGGAAGACACTCACCCTCGTCATTAAAGAGCTTTTTTCCTCCCATTGAGTTTTCTGTCCTTCCCTGAACGTCCTCATGCACATCTTCTTCTGTCAGTCATTCTGTCATCTTTCAAACTGCAGAGATCATATACTATGCTTTAGTCTGGAATATTTTTACCCCAAAGCTCTTCATCTCCCAAGAGAAATACCTTAGGTCTGATCAAATAAGTCAACCTACTGGGAACATGGAAATATTTGAAAAGTAACATCACCTTCAGTTTCAGAAAAGAAAGTCTGTACACAGACACATAGCATAGATTGGAAGCGACTCACTTCTCATCTATTTTTCTCTATGTGATTCTGCTCTTGTTTTCTTTCCTCTTTAAAAAGTTTAAAAAAAAAAAAAAAAAGCCTTTATAGAGTCAGGCATGGTGGTGCAAGCCTTTAATTCCGGTACTCAGGAGGCAAAGGCAGATGGATCTCTGTAAGATTGAGGCCAGCTTGTTCTACATAGTGAGTTAGTTCCAGGACAGCTGGGGCTACAGAGAGGCCCTGTCTCAAAAAGACCAAAAAAAAAAAAAAAAGAAAGAAAGAAAAGCTTGATGGAAACAAAACTTTTATTTTTCAATCAATTTGATGTGGTTGAAGGCACTGGAAACATCTACAGTAACATCAAGGACACCTCATGACCACATCAAGAAATATAGTGGTTGGAGCTGAAGAGATGGCTGGGTGGTTGGGAGTGCGTCTGCACAAGCATGAGGATCCAAGCACCCAATAAAAAGCCAAGTGTGGCCACACGCACCTGTAAGCTCAGCGCTGGGGTAGGGGCCAAAACAGAAGGCTCTCTGGCCCAGCTCCAAGTTTCAGTGAGAGACCTTGGCTCAAAAGGAATAAGAACGACAAGGCAGGACACCTGCTGTCCTCCGCTGGCCTCAGGATGGGGGGGCGGGGGAGCGAGAGAGAGAGAGAGAGAGAGAGAGAGAGAGAGAAATACAGTGATCCATAGGCTTTGAACCAAACTTTGGGTTTTAATAATTTGTATGTTACTTACTAGCTGTGAATATCCTGATATTCTCTCTCTTTTTCACTAGTTGAGTCTGCCATAAATATATATATGTTATATGTGTATATCTATGTATAAATGTGTATGTATGCATATGTGTATCCAAACATATGTATCATTTTTGTCCTGTATATATACATATAGTCTTCTAGGGGTTATTTAAATCAATCAACATTATTATTAGGGATCATCAACGCTGTTGCATACAGCTATTGCCCATCCATTTTTAGTGACATTTAATATCATTGTGTGACTATACCACATTTTATTTGTCTGTGTGCAGGCGTTTGACTTGTTTGCCCTTCAGTTAAGAGAGTAACTCTAGCATGCATGCCCACAGTTTCACTGTTGACCTGACCCTCTTCCTTTGTCCTGTCTGGTGGTTCTCAAATGGGGGAATCTCAGTATTCCCAGGAGATGTTTGGCAATGTCCAGGTGGTAGAGAACAGGAATGCTGTTTAGCACCATCCAAGGCGCAGATCAGCTCCTCAACAAAAGACTGTCCAGCCCAAACACCAATATTGACAAAGTTAAGAAGCTCTGGTCTATCCCTACATGCGCTTATGATGCTTTAAGTTAAGCCTGGAGGGCAGGCGATCACCCTCCTTTTTGTGCACCAAGTGTGCTATGAAGAGCCTCTGCATGTGAGAACATAGGAGAACATATGTGCAGTTTAGACAAAGAGTGTCTGTGGAGACAGAAGAACATAAAGTTCTCCTACAAGAAATCCTAGCACTCAGCCTTCCTTACTGCAAGCATGACTTCTGTTTACTTTTTTAATCCCACTTTGACTCAGACTTCTTTTCGTTTCTCTGAATGCAGGACCATGTCTTTCCACTGAGTTCTCCATAGCGCAGCCAGAAAGACTGTCAAAAACTCTGGATCTTCATGTTCCCTGCACTCAGCTCCATCACAGAAACCCTGCACCAAATTCAAGCATCTCTGTCTAGTACACAAGGCCCATGATGGGCAGATCACTGTCTGCTGCCCAACCTCCAGGCTCACCTTCCCTCTAAGGACACCTCTACCAAGCATCACCTAATGAACAGTTTGCTTCCAACCCCATTCCTTTGTACTTGCTTTTCCTGCCTGGACAGCTGCTCCTTCTCTGTTTGTATCTGGTTAATTCCTACTTGTGCTGAAGATATGGACTCTTTGCTTAGCCTAATGGAATGTAATTGTCTCCTCGCCTTGTATCACCATATCACCAAGGAGATTCCTGAAACTGAACACCGAGCCCTGAAACTGGGGACTGAGACTTGTTTTTCCTTCCTAGAGTCTAACACAATTCCTATTACCTACCTAAGAGCTATCCCATAATGCTCACTGGATGGCTGGCTAAATGGATGATTGAAAGGATGAATAGATGGAAGGAAGGAAGGAAGGAAGGAAGGAAGGAAGGAAGGAAGGAAGGAGGGAGGGAGGGAGGGAGAGAGGGGGAGGGATGGAGGGACGGAAGGAGGAGGATGAGAGGGAAGGAAGGGAAGGCTAGAAAGAAGGAAGAAGGAAGCCAGAGAACGAAGGAAGGAGGTGAGGTGAGAAGAAGAGGAAGAGGAGTTATAGGGAAGGAAAGAAGGGAGGAAGTAAATGAGGGAGGGAAGTAAAAGGTGAAGAAGGGAAAGAGGGAAGGAGGAAAAGAAGGAAGGAAACATACATAGAAGGAAGGATGACCAGGAGAGAGGTAGGGATGAAGGGATGGAGGCATGGACGAGCGCTGGGTGGAGCTGCTCTCCAAGATGAAACAAGTCTCTGGAGACTGCTGGATTAACAGAAGAGCAAAAACAGCATATCGCTTCAACCTCGCCACTTTTATTGAACAATTATATCTCATTGAAGAAGTCCCCAAGGAACATAATACATGAGGACAGAAAATGTTTTGTGTAGGAAAGAGCCCAATGATGTGGTAGAGCCACTCTTCCCAGACAAGAACCCAGGATCTCTCTCTCTCTCTCTCTCTCTCTCTCTCTCTCTCTCTCTCTCTGCCAGGAGGTGCCGCTTGGACCATCAGGATGCTGACACTTCTGATGAGCTCCCTGAAGCCTAGGCAGGTGGGCTGTGGCAGTGTAGAAAGAGTAAGATTCTAGCTAAGTCATAATGGGCTTTACAGAGGATCACTCAGGTTCTTTGGCTTATGGCTGTTGCTTTGCAGGACGGTGAGCTGGATGGAGACAGGTCAGCGGTCAGCAGGCTTGCTGGCCGCAGGTTGAGGAGCTGCAGCCTCACCGGTGGTCGGGTTGGTAGGTTTGGCCTCCGAGGGCTGGCAGGGAGTCTCATCTGAGACCTCCACCTTGCAGGGGGTTGAGTTGGCACAATCGGGTTGGCTGGAAGTAGACTTCCTTCTGTCCCCCTTACAGGAGTCGGAATCGGTGCAGGGCTGGCGGGAGCAGACAGGGCGGTAGGAGTAGGAAGTGAGGCAGGTGGGGCGGCGCAGGATGGAGTAGCATGAACGGTAGCAGGCTGGGCGGTAGGAGATGGATGTCACATACGGCGGCCTGAAGGTGATGGGTCCAGAGCAGATAGGGCGGCAGATGGGACGGCAGATGGGGCGGCAGGAAACCGGGCTGCAAGGTTGCTTGGAGGAACTAGGTATGTAGAAAGTCCGAGGAGGACAGGTTGGCTGGCAGATGGCAGATGCAGAGGACCCAGGACGGCAGCAGAGAGGCTGGCAAGAGGTAGGTGGGCAGGAAACCGGCTCACAGGAGACAGAACGACAGCGCTTGACTATGTAGCAGGAAGGTTGGCATGGGCTAGACACACAGATAGATGGCAGGCAAGGACTGGGCTCAGGACAGACAGGTTGGCAGATACTAGACACACAGCATGAAGAATCTTGGCAGCTACTGGAGACACATGACGGCTCACAGGGGCTCTGAACACAACAGACAGGGCGGAGACAAACAGGCTCACACACCAGAGCCATACAGGCTGCTGGCTGGCAGACACTTGACTCTGAGCAAGATGCCTCACAGGGACTGGAGTCACAGCAGACTGGCTGGCAGCTGCTGGCTGCAGAGCAGACAGATGGACAGCAACTAGGTGTCGGGCACACCGGCTGGCAGCAAGCAGGCTCACAGACCACCGGCTCGCAGACCACAGGCTCACAGACCATGGGCTCACAGATCATTGGTTGGCAGGAGGCAGGCACAGTACAGAAAGCTGAACAGCAGCTGGGCTCACAGGCAGACTGGCAGGACGTGGGTATGCAGAGGACTGGCTGGCAGGGAGTAGTCTCACAACACACAGGCTGGCAACTGTTCCCGGAGCAAGAAGGCTCACACACAGTGGCCTCACAGCACACAGGTTGGGCACAGCTGCTCCCAGAGCAGGAAGGCTCACAGATGGTGGCCTCACAGCACATAGGTTGGCAGCAGCTGCTCACAGAGCAGGAAGGTTCACAGATGGTGGCCCCGCAGCACACAGGTTGGCAGCAGCTACTCACAGAGCAAGAAGGCTGGCAGCATTGTGAGCCACAGCCAGATGAGCCACAGCTGTCCTCACAGGTCACCAGCTGCCACGTCTGGCTCCGGCAAGAACTGGGCAGGCAGACAGGCCCTCCACAGCTCACCTCGGTGGAGCAGAGAGAGATGGCTGGCAGAGAGGGACATTTCCTAGAACAGCAGCTGCCAGTCATGATGGAGGTGTCTCTGCTTCTTGTGAGTGCTGGGAGGTGGCTGTTTGACTGTGACAGCTCTCTGAGGCCCTTCCTTTTATACCCCCACAGTGGTGCATGATGTTTGGGGGCCCCTGCATCTTTTCCTCATTGCTGTTGGGGCTCTGTTTGTGAAGGAACATCTTATTATGCCAATATTTGTTGATCTAGACGTCATCTGCCTACCCATAAGGAAGGTGTTTATTTATTGACTTGCTAAATTTGGATTCCTCAAAGCTATAGGTAGCCTTAGACTAAGCATCATCATCCCTCGGCTGTGTGATCTATATTTCCTAGCATCACAAAGAAGGAAAGAAGGAATGATCTTAGAATTTACCCTCCTTCTACTCTTCCATTCTAAGCCCTGGGGTGGGCACAAAAGTCCCCACAAGAAAGAACACCTATTCTCTGTAGCAGGCCCCTGAGCCTATAGCAAGCTTACTGCACTGTCCTGAAAAGCTCCACAAAGGCACCCAGGGAGGGGTGGAGAGAAGCAATGAGGAGCTCAGTCAGGGATCAAATATCTGGGCTGAATTTTCAATGACCGCACTTCCCATTAACCACCAGCAGTGAGGCACAGATGATTCTCCCCCATTACAGATGGAGAATTGGGGGTGGAGGGTCAGAAAAATTAAGTCTCTTGCTGAAGATTGTTCCCACCCTGCCCCCATGTAGATTTCAGCAAGCAGAACTTTTTTAAATGTTAATTTGTTATCCTACTTTGTGTGTGTGCACACGTGTGTGCACGCTCACGTTCATATGCACATGTGCCACAATACACATGTGGAAGTCAGAGAACAGTTCTCTCCCTCCATCATGTAGATTCCGCAGATTGAACTCAAGCCATCAAGGTCACACTCAGATTTTTAGATTTGGTAACAAGTGCCTTTACTGACTGAGCTATCTCACCAGCCCTCAAGCTAGACCTTCCTAGGAGACTTCACCAAAGTTGTGTATCACAGGCTCAGCACATGATGCCACCTCCTTTCCTGTTCCAGAGCTTCCCTGTCTGGGAGCATTTGCTCCACTGCCCCTGGAAAGCCCTGACATGCCCTCTCTGCTTCTCCTCTCCTTTCCTTCCACACGTGTCTGCCCCAAATATTCAGCGGCTCTCCACAGTCATCTTTGCCTTTGGAGATTTTGAGTGCTCTTGAAAGGACAATGCCTTCAGAACTCAACAAGTGAAAAGAAAAGGCAGGCAGCCACAGGAAGGCTTTCCAGGTTTGTCTCCCAGGCAAACAAGACTCCTCTGCTGCGATTTGAGACAGAGAGGAGGTGAGAACAAACATCAAGGGTTGGCATTTTCATTCAGTGAAGGAGCTATCTTGCCTCTACCTTGTGTTTCCATCATCAACGCAGAAGTAGATTAGCCTCCCCTGGAAAAGCCAAACCATTACACCATCCATTCACACACCCTCCTCCAAACATTAATGTATACACTCATCCACTCAATTTCTCTTTTGTTCATCCACTCAACTAGGACCGCACTGAGTTCTGCGGGAGGAAGACAAAAAGCATGAGCTACAAGTTCAGCCACAAAGCACGAGATTAAAAAATATATATGTGTGTGTTTAAATATATGTATGTATATATGCACACATGCATACACACACACACATGTCCATGAGCAATTATGCCATGTCATGACAAGTGCTATAATAAAGAGATATACAGGTGCTTTGGCGGCACTAGGAAAAATAGTCATATGAATTTTAGGAAGTTAGGAAATCCTGCTCAAGTAACAAGATGGCAAAATTGGGGGCTGGAGACATGTCTCATTGTTTAAGAGCACTGGCTGTTCTTGCAGAAGACGCGGGTTCGAATCCCAGCAGCTAGCAACCGTCCATAACTCCAGTTCCAGGGGATCCAATGCCCTCTTCTGTCCTCCTTGGGCATTGCATGACACAGGTACATTTACATACATGCAGGCATAACACTTATACATATAAATTAAAAATAAATAAATAAATAAAAATTTTTGTATGATAGCCAAATTGAATCCTCAAGGAAAGATGCAAAGCTCAATCTGTGGAAGCCAAAGACACAATGGCAGGATATATTTGGGAGAGCAGCAAATAGTCTGGCATAGACAGGATGAAGTGCATAAGAGACAGGAAGGGACAGAGATGGGGCTGTAGGGGTTACTAGGCACTCAGCCATGAAAAGTCACAAGTAAGAAGTTAGATTTTATAACAGTACTCCGGAGTTTAAGCAACAAAGAAATTTGGTGGGTTTGCCATTTTGAAAAGTGTCTCTGCCTATAGAAAGGGAAGAAAGACCCTTTCTGATGGTCAGGGAGACCATCGGGAGACTGAGCAATTCCCCAAAACCTCCTTGATGAAAACCTGAACCTGGCAGCACTCGGGATAGAGCAATATGAAAGGTTCTAAAGAAGCATAACCTAAAAGTCTCCAGAGTTGAAACTATAAGATTAGAGACAGAGATTGCACTCTTCCAGATGTATCTCTCAAGCAACAGGGAACAGGGACTTTCTGCCAGCTCTGCAGAAGGCCAGCTCCCTGCCATGCCTAGCTCCTCTCCATCAGCTTCTCTTCCTCAGCTTAGTCAGTGATGGAAATATGGTTGGAGATGACCCCATCCCAACAAGTCCCTCATAAACTCACTGATGAAAACTGGCATGGCATTTCTCATTGTACTAGGGTGCCGTCTCTTCAAAGAATCCTTCCCTGCCCTTCCTACTTGACTTCTCTTTAAAGTCCTGGTTACCCTTTGGCATCATACAGGTACTACAAGAACAAGGACGTTGTCTATTCAGTTGTGTATGCCTGGCACCCAGGGTTTGATATATAGGAGATGCACAATTAATGTTTATTAATGAACAAATGAGACCCTCTGTGTGTAGCTAAGAAGGGCAGCCCTTGCTGGCAATTCAAAGAAATCACTACCTCTACTCATGCATCCGGGTGACTGCCCATGAGCAATAGATTAATCAGCTACTTTGAATCACAGCGACTCGGTGCAGAGCCGCTGGCCTCTGGACAGGTTGTCCCTTCAAGGGACAGGAAGCTCCTTCTGTACCTGTGTTTGTCCTGTGTTTAACAAGTTAGTTCTTAAGAAGCCAATTCTATCCGGAGCAAAAAACTTAACAGAGTTTGAATATAATCAGGGAAAAGTCCAATCTCATGTTATCACCAAAAGTAAAGCATGTTGCTACCAATGAGTTTATTTTTTTTTACAATGAAACCCAAAATTGAAGGCGCAATTACTATTGGTATATATCTAGAATGACTGAAAATAAAAATAGTGATAATATCAAGTGCTAGCAAGGTGTAGAGCAACCAGAACACGCAGACAGGGCTAACTGGAATATAAAATGACACTACTACTTTGAAAAACAATTTGATATTTCTTTACATACTTAAACATTCAATTGCCATTTCCTCAGCAATACAACTCTCAGGATTTATCCAAAATAAATAAAAATATATATTCACATAAAAACTTGCACACAAGCATTCCTGGAAGTTTTAGTCCCAATAGCCAAAAACTTGTAAGCAAGCTAAGTGCCTATCAATAAATGAATGCATTTAATATGGTCTATCCATGCAATGGAATAAGATTCAGTAAAAGAAGAGCAAGCTAGCGAGCTGAGAAGATTCCTAAGTCAGTAAAGTGGTTGCTGTAGGAGCACAAGGACCTGAGTTTGAGTCCCAGAAGTCATGATAAAAGTGAAGAAGAAGAGGAGGAAAAAGAAGAGGAGGAGGAGGAGGAGGAGGAGGAGGAGGAGGATAGTGGTACAGTAATTGCGCTATCATAATCCCGGTACTTAAGGAGGCAGAGATAGAATCCCTGGAACTCTCTGGCCAGCCAGCCCAGCCTACTTGAGGAGTTCTAGGCTAGTGAGAGACCCTGGCTCAAAAGAAAAAAGTGACACCTGAGGAACAGAACCCAAGGTTGTCCTCTGATCTCTACATGCACATATGAACCCACACACATATGTTCCCTCATATACACGAACATGCACACATGGACTTACACACACACACACACACACACACACACACACACAGGAACAAACTATGGATGTCTACAACAGTGTGAATGAATATCAGAAACATCACACAAAGTGACAAATGGTTCACAACTGCATGATTTCTTTCTTTTTATAAATGAAATTCTGGAAATAGAAAAGTGTCTCATGACACGAAGAGCAGGCTGGTAGTTACCAGAGGCTGGTGCAGGTAAATATCTGCAAGAAGACATCTGAGGGGTGATAGAACATTCCGTGCATTGAGTGCAGCAGTGATGATGTAAGTACAGTGTGCACAACCATCAGATCCCATTGGAATGGGCACTAAACATAGTAGCGTTTAATTATATGTAAATTATATCTCAACAAAATTAACATAAAAGTTTATGAAATTATCAAAGAACTTTTAAATTTTTTAATGAAATAAATGAATAAAGGTAAAATGGTAGACGCAGCAGTTTCGAGTTCTACTTATAAATGTGCTTTAAAAAGAGTCTGCAGAGCCTTGTGGG